TTAGTTTGGCTATTTGCAGATCTCGTTTTTAGGTGCTCCGGTTTTCACAAGTTTTTGGTTATCGTTTTGCTATCGAAACGTTTCATTTCTCATCATTTTTTGCTGCCGCAACAGCTGATTTGAGGTTTGGTCAGCAGCAAACAACGCGAAAAAATGCCTTTTTTATTTTTAATTGCATCTTTCGAAGCCAAAAGAATTAAGGGGAAAAGCCAGAAAAGCCAAGTTAAGGGGAGGTTCTTTTGCATTTTTCCGAGAATTAAGCAAACTTTGAGAATGGATTGTGGGAAAATGAAAAAACATAGGAACTTATGCTTTTGAACTTTTGATTCGTTGTTTATAACCGATTAAAAAAAATATTCAATATTAAGGAAATTCCAAATGGCGGCTTCAAAATGGGGGATCTCGTCGACCGCCATTTTTCTGCTTTGTCTAGTGTCGGGCCGCTGGTAGTGAACGGAAATTAGAAATGTATATAATTTATTAAAATGGATGGAATTTCCTATGCCTTATACCTAACAACAATTAATTTTGGTAAAAATAAACCAATTTCATGGACGTTTAAAAAAAAATTGACATTTTTTCTCTTTTTTTTTTTACTTTGATCTCGTTTAAAAATTATAAATAAACATTTGTTTATGCCAATTTTAGGTATAAGGCATACAAAAAAGTATGTACTTTTAAACATTTTTTGAATGAAGGAAATCGGATCAATAGAACGAGCCCTGTGCGCGACAAGAGGTTTGAAAACATGGTTCCGAGAAAAACGCGTTTAAAGTTTTTAGAAACTTTGCCTTGAAACGCTCTAGCTCAAGAAATACGCGTCGTATCGAAGTATCCCTTGGCACGTATATTCTACACATATGTAACTTTCATTTTATTAAAGCATAGTTCTGTGACGACGAAAATCCGCTGTCGCACGAATGACAGCTGTCAAACTCCATATAAAAAAAACGGTGTTAAAAAAGGAAGAAGAAGAAATTATTGTCTCCTAGATTTTTCCGGTACTCTGACGACGAAAATTTTAGCTATCGAATTGAATGGCGTTGGCGGATCAAAAAAAATAAACAGCTGATTTTGGGGTGTTGAAAGAATTAATTTTATTTATTTCGATAGCTAAAACATGGACCGAGGATAAAGTCAAGCTAATTAGTGCGGTCAAGGCGAAGCCCATAATATGGGATTTGACCCACAAGGGGCATTTTAATTCCATAAAATGGCATTGAAATGATATGTGATTGATTTTGATTTTGATTTTGACCCAGTTTTCTTTTTCTTAATCAGCTCCTTAGCGGCGAAATACATAAACAAAACACCAATATCCAATCGGTTTGAATTCATTTTTGCTTATTTGTTTTTTGTTTACAAACAACAGCTGTTCAGTATTACCCTTTTCCTTAATTATTTTGGTCACACTAGCTCGGTAGCTGAATAAAGTGCGATTTCGCTAGCGGATTTTCGTCGTCACAGTACTAGGCTTAAACAAAAAAAATCGATTTTTTCAAAAAAATCCAAAAGAACCTCCCCTTAAGGGGATGCCATCTTTTCAATGGATTTCATTTTCATTTCATTCCGGTGTTTTCAACAATTTTTTTTATACACTTTTAGCACATAACTAATTAAATTAAATTAATTAATTTTTAAAAAACAAATTTTACCCAATTTCAAAAAATTTATCGCCATCCGTTTGATTATACAAGTATTTTTAACTTTCTTTTTCATTCTATCAAAAGTATGGCAGCTTAGGCGATAACTCATGGTGTCGGACTTTTCGGTCGCTCACCAAAACGAAAATTGTTGCCGACGGCAAAATTTGATATCCAAATTTGAGGTGGGGTCAGAAATTACTCGTTTTAAAAATAATTACAAGCCTAATTGATCTTCTAGAGGTGTTAAAAGAACGACAATAAACCAATGAGTCAACTACTTTTTTTCCTTTTGCAAATAAGATCCGATTTAATATAGAAAAAGGCATTTACTTTTCATTTAGGCAAGACAAATTTTCTCGTTTTGGAATTCGAAAAAATCTTGTGAAAGTGAAAACGGGAGCACCAGTTTTTTCGTTTTCGTTTTCAAAACGAAAACGAAAACCGAAAGTGAAAAGCGGAGCATGCCTGTATATTTCGTTTTTTGTGAAGGTATGTGTGGGTTCCTTTTATATTTTATGTCTACATTTATTCCTAAGATTTGCATGCTATTGGATGTTATGACACAAGTGCAGTTGTGCTTATTGCAAATGTGGAGATGTTGGCACTTAGATAGGGATAGGGTTGCCCCGGAATATGAAACCAGTTTTCTATATCACTACCTGACCCGGCAACGGTTGTTTTGCCACCATATGACTTTTTAATTTCTGTACAAAATTAACTCAGTTCTAAATTTATGTATTATAAAGTCATCTGGATCGCTGTGAACCATGAGGTAATATAAAAATAACAAAAGGCAAACATTATTTCAGCTCTCCAGCTCTTTTCAGCTCTTTTCTCTTTTCTCCAGCTCTTTTCTTAATGACGATAGCGTGACTATCGCTTTGTAATTGGTGCATATGTATGTGATTTGAATATTTTTACCAATTCATTGTGCTCGTTCAATAGAGCATCTAGCTCGGTGACGATACGTCTGGCATAAAATGAATCAAGGTTATTAGAATCACAACGTGCATTCACGCGATTGGCAAGTGCGCTTCCGAAATCCTCGCCGCCCATAAAGTAGATTTGTAAGAATTTGTGGTTCGTTTGCCATTGCCAGCAGAGAGCCCATTTTATGATAAACTTGGCCTCTGATTTTGAATGTAGAATTGTAATGTTGACCATTTGCACTAGTATTTCGAACTATTTCTGTTTCTCCGAACGATGTCATTTGAAAGCATGAATTGAATGTTCGAATTGACTTCAGGAACAGGTTAGAATCTGGATCCGTGCCGATAAGTAAGCCGTTCAATGGTTTAGGTGCACTTTTCCTGACACGCAACACATCCCAGCTGGCTCATTTTTGAATTTCAGAACATGACAATGCGGACATTCCTTGTCCATAGCACCAATTACCACTTTTGAGTGAGCACAATACTCAATATCAGGCTCATACTGGAATGCGAGACGAAGGAATGAATCAGATATAAATGCTCGATGTACCTTTTGTCTTTGTTGGTCATTTGTTCATTTGTACTGTGAAACGGCGTGATTGTCGTTGTTCTAATCTTCTGACTTTATTGCGTTCAGCTCGTGTATCTTCTGGCTCTTCTTGATGATATTGCGCTATTCTAACACGTACATCAGTATTTTGTTGCTGAATTTGTTCTTCGGTTCTTTCGGATCTTCTATTTCGCATGTTTCGAGATCTACTTGTATCACGGCTCAAATCACCCCCTTTGCGTTTTCTTGGCATGAGTGTGTACATTGTACAAAATACTCAAAAATATAATTAAAGTATTTACTTAATGATGAAGGATTTTTGACCTAGTTTAAATTGAGTTAAAATGATATGGTAGCGTGAGTTTGTCAGTGTTCCGAGGTAGTAACTCACTTTATATGCGATTTTTGGTATGTCGAACAGGATTTAAGAGGATGAAAAATTGATGTTGGCGGATTCTTATACCTACTCAATACGCTCAAAAAATGTTGAGAATCGGTATAGCCGTTTCGAAGGAGTATGGTAACAAAAACTTTAACATAACAACAAAAACATATATATAGATTTAAAAGGTTACCTAGGTTAAAGCTAATATTTTTGTTTTTATTAGAGTTAATTATGAGAAAATAGTCATCGGCGTATGAATTAAATTTGATTTCCTTGTGTAAGGATATTATAACAGACAACTTATTAAAGGCTTTGAGAAATAGTATAACGGAGATTGGGGATTCTTGAAGGATTCCATTGAATAAGGGTAGTGAGTTGGATCTATGTAGACCGATTATTATTTTTCTACTTAGCATTAAATGTCGGACGTAATTTATTATTTTCGGCACTGTTTTTCATTCCAGGAGTTGGTCGATTTACTTTATTTTAAAAAATAAAGAGGGACGAGTGAGCTGTGCTAGTGTGACTGCGATATGAAATAGTCTACGTAAAGTAGATTGTACGAAGTCAATTTGCTTTTTATACCCTTGCAGAGGGTATAAAATTTGTCCAAAAGTGTGCAGCGCAGTAAAAGAAACATCTCCGACCTTATAAAGTATATATATTCTAGATCAGGATCACCTCCTGAGTTGATATGAGCATGTCCGTCTGTCTGTTTCTACGCAAACTAGTCTCTCAGTTTTAAAGCTATCGTTTCGGAAGTCGGAACGGACGAGATCGGCTGACGATATCCTATAGCTGCCATATAACTGATTGATCGGAAATGGTATAACTTTGGTGTCTTAAGAGTTAGAGATATCAAATTACACGAGACACGAGAGCTATTTTTAGCAAAATAATAGGACATGCCAAATTTCGTAAGGATCGGCCGACTATATCCTATAGCTGCCTTATAACTGAACGATCGGAAATGACCCAACTTTCGTGTTTTTGAAGATAGAAAGCTGGAACTTGGTACAGATTATATTTTTAGTCAGTTTATCCTACCAAATTTCATAACGATCGGCCGACTATATCTTATAGTTGCCATATAACTGAACGATCGGAAATGGTTTTTAATAGAAATACCAACTTTGATATTTTTGAAGATAGAAGTTTGGGACTTTTTTTTAGATTTTGTATTGTAATAAATTGAATTATATATTCATATTCCCATAAGGATCGGCCAACTATATCCGATGTTTGCGATATATATCTGGTTTTAACTGCAAGGGTATATAAACATTGGCTTCGCCCAAAGTTAGCTTTCCTTTATTGTTTTTAGATATTTTATTCTCATTAGGATCGGCCAACAATATCCGATGTTTGCGATATATATCCGGTTTTAACTGCAAGGGTATATCAACTTCGGCTCCGCCCGAAGTTAGCTTTTCTTTCTTGTTTTGTTTGTTATAAACATTACAATAATGTTGAATTTTTTTTTGCAGTTTACGGATGACACGGCAAGTGCTGAACTCTATCCGTATTGTTGGTGTACGTTTGGAAGATGACTCAGTAGAGACCATGGACGGAGTACCTAGCGTTCTAATTGATAAGGAACAATTGTTTCGCGTTTTTGGAAGCGGCTTAAAAAAAAATACTGTGATTACATTCACCAATGAGGAAAACGATTACGGTGGATCGTGTTTAAAGCCAGCAACCGACTTGTTTTTCCCATTAGAAGTTTCAAGTAATGGCTATTCAGCGACATATTCCGTTAAATTTCCTTCGTCTAAAAGTGTATTTTACGTTTGCGCAAAAAATTCGGAGGAAAAAAGTACTGTAAGTTTATAAGTTAATAGCTACGAAAAATATTTGTGTTGGTGTGGGTTTGGTGTGTGCTTACACCTTCGATGCACCCGTGACCACTTTTCATGAATTTTTGTCAACACATATCCCAACTCAATTAAATGGTTTTTCATTTAATTATAAAACGTGTCAAATTTTATAAAATCTCTTTAAAGCAGAACTCGTCACAAGAGCATCCGTCACAGTAAATAGTTAAATAAGTTATCTGTATAACTTTAAGGCGGCTGGTGCAGTAGTGTATGTTAAAGTTTAGGAGTTTTGCTTCTCTTGCCTTTGTGAATTTTACATGTGATGAGCAAAATATTTATAACCAAAGATTATACAGTACATAGATCTGTTTTTAGAACTCTTAACATGTATGTATGCGTAAAAAAAATGTCAGCCTTGTATGTATGTGTGTTTTGGCTTCCAAATTTCAATTACTCATCGTTCTCATATGTTTACAATGCGCCGATGTGGTAGTAGAAGAATTAGTGTTTTTGATCGCTACCGCTCAAGTCAGGGTTGTAGCTTAATGCATAGAGTAGTTGCTCTCTGTACAATTGTTCACATCCTCCTGAAGACTTCGAACGTTTTTTTCGAATATTACAATATGTTTTAATGTTGTAATATAAAAGAAAAAAAATTAAAAAGTCCGCTAAATAGAATTCCATGGAAGTCTGTCCGTCATTTTTTCATCCGATAAGTCCGTCATTTATTTTTACAACAATTGTAATTTGTATAATGCAGTTAAAAACAAGAAAGGAAAGCTTACTTCGGGCGGAGCCGAAGTTGATATACCCTTGCAGTTAAAACCGGATATATATCGCAAACATCGGATATAGTTGGCCGATCCCTATGAGAATATCATAATAAAACTAATTAATTACAATGAAATATCTAAAAAAAAGTCCCAAGCTTCTATCTTCAAAAATACCAAAGTTGGTATTTCTACCAAATACCATTTCCGATCGTTCAGTTATATGGCAGCTATAGGATATAGTCAGCCAATTCTAATGAAATTTGATAGTTTGGATCAACTGGCCAAAAATAGAATCTGTATTAAGTTTCAGCTTTCTATCTTTAAAAACACGAAAGTTGGGTCATTTTCGATCGTTCAGTTATATGGCAGCTATAAGATATAGTCGGTCGATCCTTATGAAACTTGGCATGTCGTAATGTTTTGCCAAAAATAGCTTTCGTATAAAATTGGAACTCTAACTTTAAAAACACATAAGCTATACCATTTCCGATCAATCAGTTATATGGCAGCTATAAGATATAGTCAGCCGATCCGGGCCGTTCCGACTTATATACTGCGTGCAAAGAAAAGAAGGGTGTGTGCAAAGTTTCAAGTCGATAGCTTTAAAACTGAGAGACTATTTCGCGTAGAAACGGACCGACAGACGGACAGACAGACGGACAGACGGACATGCTCATATCAACTCAGGAGGATACCCTCTGCAAGTAATAATAAAATAATAATAATAATAATAAAAGTAAATGCTATGAAAATAATCATAAAACTAAAATTCGCTTTCTAAAAATGGAAACCACCTCACTCATAATATTGAACGCCTCAAGGGTACGAAGCTATCCATCTATGCTACCCATAAGTTGACTTAGTGATCCTTAAAGTTGGTGTTGAATTAAAAGCGAAAATCAATTGCAAAAACAGAGCTAAAAAATAAAGATTTTTTTTTTTTTTTTTATTATAGCTTTGCTTTTATTTATTGAATCTACTCTTAATTTTGAGACTAACAATAAGTTGACGAATCTTAACATTAAAATTTAACTAACAGTATACTAAGACTGCATTCTGGTTGCGCGTCCCTCAGGTCGGTCGCTGGGTGGGTAAGTCATTGCGACGAAGGCGTGATTGGTTGCTCAACCTTGTTAGACCTCTCGCCAGGTGGTTAGGGTGCACCGATAGCTTGGTTAAGTACTTTACCTTCTGTTCTGCGATCGCTTCTTTGACTGGTAGAATGTTTAAGTCGCGGTGTTTGTTTTCGTTGCGAACGTACCACGGTGCCCCGGTGATTGTTCTCAAGATCTTCGACTGAACTCTTTGAATTATGTCAATGTTGCTATTGCTGGCGTTCCCCCATAACTGGGAGCCGTACATCCATATAGGTTTTAGTACCGAGTTGTACAGCAGGACTTTATGTTCAAGGCTAAGAGGTGACCGAGCGTTGATAAGCCAATGAAGGCCGCTGGCTTTTAGCTTTAGGTGTGTTCTTTTGGCTTCAATGTGCCGGCGCCATGTGAGTCTTCTGTCGAGATGTACTCCTAGGTATGTTACTTCGTTTGCTTGTGGGAGTAGAGTGTTGTTTAGTGTTATCGGCGGGCAGTTTTGCCTGTTCAGAGTGAACGTAACATGCTTGCATTTTAGTTCGTTCACTTTAATTCGCCAGTCTGACAGCCATTTTTCGACATCGACCATATGATGAGCTAGCTGCGCAGTTGCTTGAATCGGGCATTTTGAGCGGCTAAGAATAGCTGTGTCATCGGCAAACGTGGATGTTGTTAGACGTGTGCTTGTCGGGATATCTGCTGTGTAGAGGACATATAATATTGGCCCTAGCACGCTGCCTTGAGGAACTCCAGCTCCAACAGTGTACTCATCGGATATAGCGGTATTGCACCTCACGACAAATTTTCTGTCGTGAAGGTAAGACTCCAAAATCTTGTGGGTGCTGTAGGGGAGCATTGTCTTGATCTTGTACATTAGACCTTCCAGCCAGACTCTATCGAATGCTTGAGAGACATCTAAAAATATGGCAGTACAGTACTCTCGTTTTTCGAACGCGTTCCGAATTTCGGATGTTATCCGGTTGACCTGCTCAATTGTTTCATGCTTTTCACGAAACCCAAATTGGTGTGACGGGATTCCTTCCTGGATTCTCAGGTATGTGTTTATCCGAGTCATTAGGCATTTTTCAAAGAGTTTAGATAGGCAAGAGAGTAGGCTTATAGGTCTATACGACGTGGGGATAGTGTGGTCTTTTCCCGGCTTTGCTATCATTATTATAATTGACTTTTTCCATCTCACTGGAAAGTGGCCAAGTTTTGCGATGGCATTAAATAGCTGGGTGAGAGTGCAAACGGCACAGTATGGGAGCTCAATGATCATTTTGGGAGTTATGAGGTCGCAGCCCGGGGATTTTTTCGGATTCAGTTGTCGTTTGATGATGTTAACGATTTCGTTTGGGCGAAACTCAATCGGCTCATGTTGAGGCTGGGGCTCATCTGATAGAGTCGGCAAAGTAAACGCATTGGTGGCAGGATTTGGTTGGAAGACATTTTTAAGGTGTTTGGCAAACGTACTGGCTCTGTCTGCGTCGCTGCGCGCCCACCCGCCTGTGGAATTTCTAATAGGCATCACGGTTTCTTTCGGTGAGCTCAGAGTTGGGTGAGCTCTCCATAGTGAGTGTTTCGTACTGTTAGTTGACAATTGCTCTATGTAGCGGTGGTGGACATACGTTTCTTCTTGCTGTAGAGCTTGATCAAGTTGACGTGAGGCATGTTTGAAGCGTTGCTTAGCAGATGGCGATCTGTGACATTGCCATTCTCGACGTAAGCGTCGCTTTTCGAGGACGAGCTGTTCGATTTGTAGATTTGTCTTCTTTTGATTGCGTTGTGTGTTTATAATTTGAGGTGTTGAAACTCGAGCTGCAGAGACGAGTACAGACTCCAGCGAATGAACAAAACTGTCTACGTTGGCTTCGTCGCTGAGGTGAGGACTCAGCTCAATGTGTGAGCTGATGTACTTCCTGTACTTAACCCAATTGGTTTTATGCGAGGTCAGATTTGATGATTGATCCCATGTTCCTGGGTGTTGGAGTAGAGTAAAAAGGACAGGCGAGTGATCAGATGAAAGATCCGAAAGGCATTCGGCGCATATCAGATTTTTAGGAATGTTTTTGGTAATCGCAAAGTCAATTAAATCGGGAAGTTTCTTTGGGTCTGCCGGCCAGTATGTTGGTGTGCCAGAAGAAGCATAGTCTAGCTTGTTCTTAGCTTTGATAATTGCATTATAGAGCTGCTTTCCTTTTGGGGTCACAAGACGAGATCCCCAGTGTGTGTGCTTGGCATTGTAGTCTCCTGCTGCTATGAAGTGGTCTCCGAGTGAGTTGAAAAACTGCATAAACTCATCTTCGGCTATGGTGAAGCGTGGGGGGCAGTATACGGCAGCTAGAGTTAATTGCTTGCCAGTATTTAGGTGTATATTTATTGATGTGGCCTGTAGGTAGTTTTTGCAAATTTCGTATGATAATGGTGCTTGATACGGCTTCTGATTAAAATTCCAGTCCCGCCGTGTGCTTTACCGTCTGGATGATTTGTTCCATAGAATGAATATCCTCGTAGTTGGAAATTGTATCTGTTCGTAAGATGTGTTTCTGAAAGCAGCATTACGTCGATTTGATTGTCTAGTAGGAATTGCGCTAACTCGAGTTTATGCTGCGAAACGCCGTTAGCGTTCCATGTAGATATTCGTAGGGAAGTCATTAATTGGATTGTTGTGAAACCAGCATTTGTATTAATAGATTTTGGTTTCGCATTAGATCTTGCATAGTTGTACGAATAAACGACATGAACTCCGTAAGGCTTTGTTGTAGACTGCATATCATTGCTTCAAAGTTACTTTTTGACTGCTCCGGAAGTTGATACTGCTGAGCCGTGTTCGGTTCTTGGTGTGCTGATTGCGGCAGTGAGCTTTTTGAGGCTGGGGTAGCCAGTCCTGATTTTAAAGCGCTTGCGTATGTGACATTTTTGTCAGAGTTTATAAGTCCTAGTGAGGATCTGGCTGCGGTCGAGAAGAAGACTTCAGGGTTTGTCCTGGAGGCTATGAACTGATTATTTTGGGTGCGGGCAGTAAGTCCCCTCTGGTGGATGCGACTTTTCAGCTCCTTATAAACTGGGCAACCTCTATAGTTAGCAGTGTGATTTCCACCGCAGTTGCCGCACTTTTTCGAGCTTTGCTCGCTGGGCAG